AGGAGAAAGGAGAGGAGGAGGCCAGCAAGATGAGCCAGGGGAGGAAGAGGAGAAGGAGGAGTTGAGGAGGGAGGAGGAGGAGGAGAGCAAGACGAGGCGGAGCAGGAGGATGAGGAGGATGGAGGAAAAAGAGGGAGACGCGGAGGGGTCAACGCATCCTCCTCCTCCTCCTCCCATCCATCCCTTCTTATTTAACTGCTCTTTCTCTCTATATCCGCCGACGCGTGTCATAGCGAACTTGGAGCTCCAAAGAGGATTCCATCGTGTTATGCGCAATCCGAAAACGGGAGCTGCGCACATTTGAGGAGGTGGCGGTTGAGCACGAGGAAAAGTTAGGAGGATGAGGAAGGGGGGACGAAGACGAAACGCAGCAGCGGGAGCTGGAGCGGAAGGAGCGGGAGAAGCAGGAGGCACAGCGGTAGGCGGAGCAGGGGAAACGAGGGGGCCGACAACGATGAAAAAGGATGCGGATCGAGCAAATTGGCCTGCGCCGGGGCGAGAGCGCTGTTTCGAAGGACGGGAGCAAAGCGCCGATCCGAAGATGAGGCCCACGATACAGCGGGAACAGCACCTTGAAACCGAAAGCAGTCCGTATGTAAAGTGGAAGGAACGCATAACAAGTTGAAGCCTTGATTGTACAAAGCACAGTCACGGAAAGGGCCGAATATTTTCCGGATAGGGTGTGGGCATAGAGGGAATTCATTTTCATCGGGTGTAAATGTACATGGCATGGGGACGAGCGGGAGGATGAGGAGGGCAGCAAAATCAGGCGGAGGAGGAGGAGAATGGAGGAACATGAGGGGGAATGGCAGGGGCATGGGCATGGGGAAAAGGGAGGGGGAAGGGGACTGGCAAGAGAAGGAGGAGGAGGACGAAGACGAGGATGAGGAGGAGGAGGAATGAGTCGTGACCTTCGCTCCTTCCGCTTCTCTTTAGAGTCTATGCTTGCCTGCTGGTCCACACGCCGGGCTCAAGGGAGTTACGAGGATAACACCCTGATGGCGTCTTAGCGGAAAAAGGTGCGCGCGCCTGTCTTTCAGCGCGCGCTCGTATCAGTATGCATCCCCATATCTACTTAACGAAACATTGCGGCTTTGCCAGACGACGCCGTTAACAGCACATCCATCCACACGATCCATATGAAGAGGTTCCCATGGTTAGAACATCAGACCAAGGGATACGTGTGATCGTCAGAAGATTTCGATTCTGCGGCGAAGACCTGGTACCAGCTGACAGGATGCTGGATGAGGAACTTGAAGCAATTAGTCATAGTGAACACCATAGGAGCAGCAATGCCATCTTGTGGTTTCAAATCATGCCCCCTTGCGCTGATGAATTGACCCCGCATGTTTTTTTCAATCACGCGCGCCAGGGAGTCGCCGCGGGCACTGCCGAGGGCATCGTGCACCCCCTGCACGACAGCCTCAAAACAACTGCTTTTCGCACAGAAATGGTTGAAAAGGGATCATGTACATCCGAGGCGACTTTCCCCCCCCTCAGGAATCGTCGTCGTCGTCGACTACCACGGGCCTGCGCAGCACCCACCCACCCCACCCCATGTGGCGTCCGCAGTGCGTCGTCGCCGCCGTCGTCGTCGTTGCGTCGTCGACGCCGTCGACGTCGTCGTCGTCGTCTTCGTCGTCGTCGTCTACTGCGGGCCTGCGCAGCATCCCCCACCAGGCTGGCATCCGCAGTGCGTCGTCGCCGTCCGTTTTCCTCGTCATGGTCCTCGTCCTCGTCTTCGTCCTCCTCGTCATCGTCGTCGTCGTCCTCGTCGTTGTCCTCGTCGTCGTCGTCGACTATACACTGGGCCTGTTCGTCGACGTCGTCGTGGACGACAGAACGGGGCCCACGCAGCACCCCCCCCCCATGTAGAGCATCGGCATCCGCAGTGCGTAGTCTTCGCCGCCGCCGTCGCCGTCGTAATTGTCGTCGACTGCAGCACCCCCTTGCTTGGGCATCCGCAGCGTTTCGTCCGTCGTCGTCGTCGTCGTCGTCGTCGTTGTGATCGCCGTCGGCGTCGTCGTCGCCGGCGTCGTCGTTCTCGTCGCCGTATTCGTCGACGACTACAGCGGGCATGCGCAGCACCCTCGCCCCCCCCCCCCATGAACCATTCGCAGTGCGTTGTCGTCCGCCGTCGCGGTCGTTGTCGTCGTCGTCGTCGTCGTCGTCGTCGTCGTAGGACATTGTACTGGAGTGGGGGCGGGAGGGAAAAGGAGAAGGACGAGCCCTTTTCTGCCGCCGCTTCCGCCCCTCACCCTCCCTTCCTTTTCTTGTTTGTAGCCATGTTGGCACCGCCCGCCAGCCGAGGTTTTTTTTTCCCCCGCCTTGTTTTCTCTTGTCTGTAGCCATGTTGGCCCAACCGCCCCGCTATATCGGGGGCGTTGTTGTCCCCGTCCGCTGAAGCGGCGCCAATTGCGTCTCGCCTGCCGCCCTCCTGTTGTTGGCCTGGTGTCGGCGCGAATCACCAGCGCCGCCGCTGCGCGTTTCAATTTGGCGCCCCCACCCCCTGCGAATCGCCCGAGCAGGGAAATTTTTTCTTGTTCGTCCCGGGCCTCCCCCCCCCCCCCC